TCCGACGGCCATGAGAGGGGTTCGGCAGCAATGAAGGAAAGAAGATGATGAAGATCGACGCCATGATTTGTTAGATCCGGAATGCTCGACGGCCATGGCTTTGGTGAGGCCAAATCTTTCTTGGGTTAAGATTGGTCTTTTTGATCAATGCCTGCGACCAGAAATCACCATCAACACAAAGAAAGAACAGAAAAAGGGAAAAAGAGCAAAGCAATGATCAAGGGAAAAAAAAAAAAGAAGGAAAAAATAGAGGGTTGTAGTGGTTTGTTAGATCTGGCCTGCAAGTGGTCCGACGGCCATGAGAGGGGTTCGGCAGCAATGAAGGAAAGAAGATGATGAAGATCGACACCATGATTTGTTAGATCTGGAATGCTCGACGGCCATGGCTTTGGTGAGGAAGGAGATTCGGCAACAATGAGAAAGATAGGGTAATGGCTTTGGTGAGGAAGCGATTCGGCAATAATGAAGGAAAGAAGATGATGAAGATTGACGCTTCATGATTTGTTAGATCCGGAATGCTCGACGGCCATGGCTTTGGTGAGGAAAGAGATTCGGCAGCAATGAGGAAGGGAGGGTAATGGCTTTGGTGAGTAAGGGAGGGTAATGGCTTTGGTGAGGAAGGGGTCAGCAGCAATGAAGGAGAGAAGATGATGAAGATCGACGACGGCCATGGCTTTGGTGAGGAAGGAGATTCGGCAGCAATGAGGAAGATAGGGTTTTAGTTTGTGGTGGAGAAGAGGAAAAGATGAGCTTTAGACTTTTTCGTAAAAAGTGCTGCAGGTTATTTTTAGTTAATAAAAATAAAAAGGGAAATAAATAAGAAAAACATAATTTTTGGAAAGAAAGTAGTTTTGAACTGGTTCCGAACCATTTCAGGTTCAAGAGATAAAACTTATATAATTGATAAGTGTGAACAAATGTGAACGTATAATGTGAACATAAAAAGGTTTTTTTGGTTTTGCTTTAATATATCTTTAGATTACTCATTCCGAACCCTAACGCTAACCAGATTCTTTTATCGAAAATGCGCACCGCGTTTGCAGCTGCATCATATTGGGCTATATTAATTATTAAATAAAAATTAACCTCTTAAAGTTAGGTTTTTTTTTATTTAATAATTTTTATTTTATAATTTAATATAATTTAAATGGTAAAAAAATTTGATCTTCTAAAGTCGGTTTTTTTAATTAACAATTATTATTTTACAGTTTAACATAATTAAAACAGTAAAAAGAAGTTATATTCTCTCATTTTTCCTTTTACTTTATCTGTTTTTTTCCTTTTTTACTTTATCTGCTTTTTATGAAATATGTATTTTGCAATTTCAAAAGAAAAATATTAATTAATTATTAAATTAAAAGAGCCATGATATCGGAAAAAATTATGTCTAATGACTGGTTTTTAACAAAATACAAACTCTCTTTGTATAATGCCATCTTTCCAGTCCATAAAGAATTGGGCGTGAGCTGATTTAGTTCTTAAAGATGATTTTGCATCATTTCAATTCATATGTCCTTGTCCATGAAGAAAAATGATAATACTATACTTACAATATTATATAAAATTATAACTTTATAATTATAATATAATACATTAAATGAATAGAACATAACATTAAAAAAATAAATGTAAACAATATCACAAGTGAACTCTTGAGTGAAAAGAACCAATTAGATAATGATATATCATGTTATAAGTTTATAATATTATGTAATATTATAATTATAGCATTTTCAATAAAAAAATTCAAAATTATACCCTTAAAGTAACATTCTAGGAGATTGAAAGTCTACCTATTTAAAAGTTTTTTATTGGTACATTAGATGATTGAGTTATATGATAAGAAATAATCATTTTTTCTCACAAACTCGCTTTAATAATTCAAATATAAAATCTCTAATTTAAAGTTTCAAAGTCAATACCACTTAAGACTTATCCATTTAAAGTTTGTAAACATATTTTAAGCACCTAGCTCTCAACAACCCCATGTTGTTTTTGTCCTTGTTTGAAAACAAAATAAATTAATAGACAATTTATTACCTAATTTACTTTTTTTTTTTTGGAACAGAATACATTGGGGGTAGGAGGATTCAAACTCCAACCCAATGGTTGGTAGGATGCACCTTCAACCAGATATTTAGCCATCGGGCCATGAGGCCCACATGCACCTAATTTACTTTCTTAATTTCCAATAAATGTAAGTAATAAATAAAATCATATTTTAAACACCTAGCTCTCAACATCCCCACATTGTCTTTGTCCTTGTTTGAAAACAAAATAAATTAATAGACAATTTATTACCCAATTTACTTTCTTAATTTCCAATAAACATAAGTAATAAATATAAAGGAAAGTAAGAGAATGTAATTCCAAAAATAGGCGGGTGTTAGATGTTGGATATCAAAGCAGAGCTCATAGGACCGACAAAGAGAATGTGCATGCAAGCAAATAATGGCGAACTCTAAAAGCAATTCATACTCAAACAAGAACCCATTTCAAACTTAAACCTCGTCTTCACTCTCATCTCTTACCCATTTCTTGAAGAAGCCCTAGGCCTTCCCTTTCTTGCTCTTAAGGCTTCTTTTGTTGACATGGGTGTTCCTTAGATTGCAGCCATCTTCTCCTTCTCATGGTTTCCTAAGAACCATGAGAAATGGAGCCAAGACGATGATCTTAAGGCTAATCTTATTAGATTCAAAGTTGGGTTCCCTTCTTCCATTACCAAGGACAAGCATGGGTGGTTGCTTAATCCCATAACTCTTGCATTTAACTCCGGTGTTAAAGCTTCATATCTGTCCATATGCCTTTCATTTGTATGTGTAAAATTTGTGAGGCTAATTCTTTAATGCCTCAATGTCCTTCCTCTATGTATATGCTATGATTTTATTCAAAATATGTGCTTTTGGTTCTTATAGTCTTCAAATGCCTAAGGGTGGAATCTCCTTAACCATTATGATAATTTTTATATACATTAGATTCTTTAAGGTGGTGGTAGTGATTAGAGAAACCAAGAATTAGAACTTTTAATCCTGAGGTTGAATTGAGCTAGTTTAGTTGCCTTGGATTTGTGAAAGAAATAAGAGATCATGCTTGCAAAAGCATGCTTGTTGGGGCTAAGATTTATTTAGATTGCCTTCTGATTATAGGAAATTAAATGTGTGAAGATTGGATCGCGGTGGTTATTTAACTGGTTATATAACCATGTGTACTCTTGTACGCATAAAGTTGGCCTTTTTAGCTTTGTTGGTTTGCATGGTCATAATGATTTATGAGGCTTGATTTTTTGGGGAAGAATAGCTTGGATTACCATTAGGCTTCATATGATCAAATAGTTTAGCCCTTGGGTATGGGAATTTGCAATTGGTAGCCCCTGATATTGAAAGTTTAAGTTGTTTGCTGTGATGATGAGTTTGGAAGTTTAACATCTAGAATTGTTTCCATAAAAGTTAAAAAAATACATTGTCCTTCATAAAGTTCTATATCAATGATCAAATACAAGTCAAAGTATATCATGAAAGGAATGTAACCTTTTAAAATATAGCCTTTTCTCATTTACTTGTGACAGTGCTCACTTTGAGTGGAGGTTGGAGCCTTCATTCTTCAGTATTAAACCATAGGCAATATATATTCCTTTTTCACTTTGAGTCTTTGACTGTGCTTTTTGGTCTCCTTCATCATTTTGCTCATCTTAAAGAAGATTGTATTCTCCTACAGGTGGTGCTATGTATTGTGGATCAGTACATCTTGGTGAAATTTGACCAAGTGGTGTGAAAGGAAACCACAGACACTATACTTGTAATGAGACATTCATCATGTGGGGCACTAAAACAAAATTAAGGGTATGCTTCCTTCTTGTTAATTTAAAGTTTTTCTCTTAAGAGATCTAGTTTGGTTTTCTCATTTGTCACTTCCATCGAGTGAATTGAAAAAAATCCATGCGTTACTTCTTCATTTAATGCTAGATCAAACTGGGTGATGCATGATTAACAAGAATGATGATGCTATTTCCAAAACATCATTTTCTTTTCCTATCAAATTTTCTTTCAAAATCTTCCTTTGGATTCAGAGATTGCAATAGTTTGGTGTACAACTATTACTATCAAATTAATTCATTTCTATTACAAAAATTTGTTTAACTTTACTTGTAAGTAATAAAGGTAAAACTTTTGCTAATCAAAGCATTAAGAATCAAAGATATTCAACTTTTCATTGGGTTCCAATTACTTTTCCATTTCATTAAATTTATCTAACTTCATGCACACATGCACCAATACATATGGTAAAGTTGGTTGCCACTGTAATTGGATTCTGGCTTGCTTGTACACTTCTAAAATTTGCCATTATAAAGTAAAGACAAACTTCTTTCAAGATAAAAGGAAACCAAAACTATAATGCATGGATGTATAACATGTGAATTTCTCCAGCTTTGATTTCTCTTGTGCAATAATTCATCTTTTGTGCTCCATTAACTAGATATGGTGCAATGGTATTGATAGAAATTGCAAAGGACATCTTGTGCATTTATACAAAGTTTTAATTATATTGGTGGTAATGTCAATTGTTGGCACATCAGCCAGACACTGCTTATTTTGTTATGTAGTGAGAGAGGAAGACAGCTTAAGTGATTGAATAGAAAATAGCATAAATGCTAATTTAGGAATGAAAATGGCTCAAATGTAGCTGATATCCTTATTTATGTTAACCAAATTGCAGTTGGAAAACCATCAGATAGCTGATCAAAGTTATGCTGAAGCAATAATTGATCAGGATGACGTTGCTGTTGCTGTTACTATTGCAACTAGTACCAGAGGAACAGCACATACTCTAGTAAATATTGATATGCTTGAGAGTACATTCTTTATTGGATGCCAAGATATGACAATTAACTATAACGGTTCAAGTACAATTTCAATGTCTGGAAAGATCTTTAGGTGTCACTTCTTGATCTATGCCTCAACTTGCCTTTTACAGCTTCAAATCCAAATCATGTTAATTATTCTATTGTTGATTGTAATACTAGAGATTAGAAGATCAGACATGTAGCATATATGCAATCAAAATTTTCTTATAGGTATTAAATTATCAGTACCCATTCGTTCATTTATTATTTGTTTATTTGTGAGTTTCTTTCTTAGAGTTTTTTGACAAGTATACAACATGAAATGTGTTGGTAGTGTAATGAGAGAAGCTGATGGAATGGATCACTTTGATTATTTTCAATCTACCAATGTGATTTTCTAGACCATCTTGAAATTTTGTTGCATATAGTACTAGTTGTTTGGACATTAAATGACTTAGCTTATAATGGCTCATCTTCTTTATCTTCATGTCTGAATGATCCTTGGCTTGTGCTTGATATGAATGAAGTCCCTTATTATTTGATGATTAATTCAGTTGCTTTAAAGTTTCACAACATTTTCTTGTTTGTTGGAACCTTAAATAACTTATCTTTCTCATGTTAAGGTGAATGAACTTTCAAGCAAATCCCATCCATAAAATATGGAGACATGTTTGGGGATTTCTTAATTCGATCATACATATTACAAGGAGAGTCTATCTAATTAAAAAAAAAAAAAAAAAAAACTAGTTTTGTTTGATAAACACAACTAAAGCAGGTGTAACGTAAAGGTTTCTTAAACAACCATGTGCACTTCTTATATATATTAGTGCACAGCCTTGTTGGAAGCCGAAGCCTACCATATTATGCATAAAAGAAGCCTTTCTTGTCTTGTGCTAAAGGAGAGAAAAAATTTCCCCATACTTCAAAGGCAAACTGAACCTGACAGGGTGGTTGCTTAAACCATTTTTCAAGTCATCTCCTTACCTATAAGAACAAAAGATTTGAAAGGTATGACTCAAAATTTGAGTTTTTATTTTGAGGAAATGGAGAGGGTAAGAAGAGATTGGCTATTCTAGTGAACTACAATTACCCTAACACCAAGGACGAGGTACACGAATGCATCGATGACATGTTGGCTATTAAAGAAGTCTTGGTGAAAAGGTTTGGGTTTGATGATGGTCATGTTGAGCTTCTGACTAATGCACCAAGGTCCTCAGTTATACCTACTAGTGCCAACATCAAGGCGGCACTTGACTGGAGATAGTGGATGGATAAGGCTAAAACAGAGGATGTCATGTTTTTCCACTATTGTGGCCATGGAACCAGGATTCCTTCTATGAAACTTGGCCATCCCTGTAGACAAGATGAGGGAATTGTGCCTTGTGACTTCAATCTAATTACTAGTAAGTTCTAATTTTCTAATTTTGCATTAGTACATTCAAAAATTAACTGGTGTATATTGCATTATTTAGAATTCTTGATAACTAACTCAAATAAGCTCTTATGCAGATATTGACTTGAGACAACTAGTTAACCATACACTTGAAGGCTCAAGCCTCACGATCCTTTCAGATTCGTGTCATAGTGAAGGTCTCATTGACAAGGAGAAGGAACAAATTGGACCATATTCTATCACAAAGAATGAAAAATGATTATCTCACAAGCCTAATACCATTCCTTTCAAATCTGTACTGCAACATTTGTCTTCACTTACAAGCATCAACACCTCAGACATCGGCACTCACATGTTAGAATCCTTTAATACTAATGCCAACCTCAAATTCTGTCTTCCCTAGGACATATTGGATTCCATGTCCTCCAAACTAAATGAAGGCATTTTGCTAAGCGGGTGCCAGGCAGATGAGTTGTTTGTAGACATGAGTGAGAGTGAGGGCGAAGGGAAGGCATGTGGGGTGTTTAGCAATACGATGCAGATGGTGCTAAAGGAGAACTTGGGTTTGCTCAATAACAAGGAAGTTGTGATGATGGCCAAGAAGGTTTTACAAGCACAATGGTTCGAGCAGCATCCTTGCTTGTACTACAATAATGAGAATATTGATGCTACCTTCTTGTGACAGTTTGAGTGCTAGCTTTTATCCCAAGTGTTTTCCCTTTGGGATTCATAGATCCATGGTTTCAATTTTCAAGTTCGCGTGTTGGAATAATAACTAATTTTTTAAATATGTTACAATAATTTAAGTGACGCAATTCAGATTATACAATTTTTTTTGTTTATATATTATTTATAAAAAAAACAAAAAAAGTGTTTTGCATTTTTAACTATATTGATGTGCAAAACAATAATCATTAGATCAACATGGCTTCGTATTTTTAGGAACAGCATAGGGCTTTCTGATTTAATAGTTAATGTTTTACAATTCGATATTGACCCGATTTAAAGGAAAGAAATTTAATAGACATTATATAAAAAGAAAAGTGTGATGACAAATAAGGTGGGATGCGTTAGATGGTCTGATATAGATATTGAATTTACCTTAAAATTCCTTTGATCTGTTTTTATTATATCACAACAAAAACTAGTAACCATTTACAAAATAAAAACACCAAAACAGGTAAATTAAGACATCCAAGTAGCATTACTCTCTCCTTCACTGTCAAAAGAAACCAATTGCTTGAAACCTACTCTACCTATGGCTTGATGTTGAGTTTCATCAATGTTCCCTTAGTTGTGACCATGATTATGATTATGAATTTTGTGACGTCATCTGCACCAAAATCCCTCCATAATGAATTAGTCGAACGTGATTTTCTTAGAGAGACAAAAAAGGGTATTCAATTTAATGTCCTCAAGATCCCTTTAACTCATTTCAATGGATATTCTTAATGCTGCGTCAATATGTAATTAGTTTTGAGCAAACAATAGACACACGTTGATGAGAGTTAAGAACCTAACTAGCTATGTTAGTGCCCCTAGCATGAAGAAATTGATAGAGATAATGATAAGAAACTTAGGTTGAAGGTGATGGTTAAGCAAGCAATATGGGCATGGAAGATATCACTTCTTGGGTGGCTTTAAAACTCAAATAGGGCAAAAACAGGTTGGGTTTTGCAAGATGAAACTCGATTGCTTCATTTACAATTGATTTATGTGAATGTTTTATATTTAGAGTTTTAAAAATTTTCGTCATAATATTTGAGACGCACATTTTTCAATTACTTATTATAGATCTACATGATTGGAAAATTTGTATAAAAATATTCAAAAGTTAAAATTTTTGGGGCTAAGATTATAAATGATCTTTAATATCACTCAAATAACCAAAACATGCATTTCTCGAAAATGGATTACAAGAGTCTAGACTATTTAGATAATTGCACTATATAGGACTCTAATTATAGTTGAAAATAGAGTTAACTTCAATCTAAACTTTCTTTCCTTTTTTTAAACTACCATAGGTTAAGCATTGTATATCTTAGCATGAAAATGGAAAGATATTTAGACAGGAAATCAACCATTTTCCCCCAACATATTTGATTAAATTGAACGAATAAGGAAAAGAAGAGAAAATAATTAAAGGACTTTTATTGCTATGGCCAAAAAGAGAAGGGATTTGTATTGTTTAGGGTCGAAGTTGTCATAACCCATGACAGTTGGGGCACCTAATTAATCTTTTGAGCTTGACTTTTTTGGCTCGTTTCCTGCTTGGTTTCTACTTTCTGTTTTTTTATATTTATAAGTAGGGTGTTCCTTGCATCCCTAGTTTAACTGATTTCGCTTTTTGATTCATTGATCCATCGTTTCATTTTGCAAGTTTGTGTATTGGAATAATAAATGATTTTTTTTTCAAGATCGAAATAATAATAAATGAATAAAATAGGTTCTTGTTTGATGAACAATGAATAAAATAGGTTCTAAGAGCTTCATTGATTTGTTGGCATATATGATGATTGATTGTATTAGTTTTTAAGCATATGAAATAAGTAAGGGTTGTAGAGTAATTAATTTAATTAATAGTAAAAAAAAAAAACTTTTTTATATGTATAACCAACTTTCAAACTTTTATTCTCTTCTTCACCCTCTCCCCCATAAAAGTTTCAACTCATTGGCTCGATTCATAAAACAAAAAGAATCAATATTAGGTAAGATTATTACTTGCATGACTCTAAAAAGTTGAGATTATTATCACTCATGATTTTGTTAAGTTGACATGTTTTAATTATAATTCTTTTAATTTATAGTTTTTTAATTAATTATAATATTTGTAAATAATTATTTATAAGTTAATATTAATTTGTTAAATAATTAATATTAATTATTTTATTAATTATAAGTTATTTTTAATAATTAAATTAAGATAAAAATTTAACAATTGCAATAATCTAGGTAACCATAATTAAAGCCCTCTAAAATATTTCACTTTTAGATTCTTATATTTTTCAATAGAAATCATCGAATTAGGGGAGAATCTTCAATATGAGAAATATGGTTTTAAAATCAAACCCGACCCTATCGGTTGAAGAAAAATTTGGTAAAACCCGGCTAACATGGTCAATCTGGTGAACTAGTTGCTCATCCCAGACAATTTTAAAATCTTTCCTTATTTTAAAAATGCTATAATTATAATACTTTTGGTATTATGAATTTATAATATAATATATTATTATATAATTAATTTTTTTAATATTTATTTATAATATTATATGTATTTATTTATTTAATAATATATTATATTTATTTAATGTTACACTATAATTATAAATTTATAATTTTATATCATATTATAATTATAATATTTTAATGTTTTAATATTTTACTTTTTTTAGACATTTTTTTCTTTTTCTTTTTCTCCCTTACTAGCCTGAGAGTATAGAAGGTCCACGATGGACAAGTAAATTAGTCAATAATGTTGATAAAATAGGGGAGGGTATTTACATAATTTAAAACAGAATTAGTGGTCTCCTCTAGGAGGCTGACGTGGCCGTCAAAGGGGATGACGGGGAAATGATGTGTCAGGAAATAATTCACTCTCCGCGTACAAACCGCGTTGGCGCATATGTATGTCATCGCATCGCCACTCCCTATTATTGCAATAAATTAAATAAATAAATAAATTTTTTTATATGTTTTTTTTTGTACAAATTCATTTTTATATCGAAAATATTGCTAAACAACATATTCTGTTTAGGGATTGAGAAATATACCTTATTAATTAAAATGTTAACATTAATAATAATAAAATAAAATATTTTAATAAATTAATATATAAAAATTTATTTAAAACATTTAAATAATTTTATAAAAATTTTTAACATCTATAATGTCAAAATATCTTAATTTTTTTTACTTTTATTTCTTTATTTGTACGAAAATATATATTTATATTAGAATAATAAACGTTATTTGTTAGGATTAAGTATATGTGAAATTTTTTTATTTTTACTTATTTTATGTTTAAAAAAATATAAAAAA